AAGAGCTCAGTGACACAGCACATGCGCAGCATTTCTATCCCGTTACCTTGCAGCATTCTCTAGTCTGACGTTTGGTCACTGAAATCTTGCACATGAGTGAAAGCGGCTGCTGCCTGCTGTCATGAGGTCCAGATACATCCAAATGTCTCAGACCTTTCGGCTGTTCTAGCTCACCAACGTACTGGTCCCTTACCTCAGAAGGAAAAAAACAAAACCAAAAGCCTCTGACATCACAGTGATAAATTACTCAAATGACCAGAGTCTAGGAAATTATCACTGAAAAAAAGTTAATTGTCTAACGCATGGCCTATTTTTTTAAAACTATTTTTGAAAGCATGAATCATTCCGAGTTGAATGAAGCAGGGAAGATGTGATCGGAAATGTCAAAGTAGGTTAGGACCCTAACAGCACTGTACTGGGAAAGGAAATGCGCCCTCCTCCAGTGTGGCTGCTTAATTTAAACCATCAATAACTGCTTGCTTAAGTAATTTGCGGCAATACCCTCTGGTGAAGCTAAAACTTTATAGCTTCTGTTCAAATTGCAATTTGAACACCTGCTCGTTTGTTACATTACTATGCTGTAATATCACAGATCGTGCTGGAAAATACTGCCGCCTCTTCTTTGGCACGTCCTAGCCAGTTGTGGTAAAATCCATCCACTGGGCATGTTTTCTCTGCTTCTGATAGCAGAATACTTTAGCGGGTTGTTGCAGAACCCCATAGGGTTGAGTCTTAGTCCCGAAAAGACAAGCTTTACATCTCAAGGCCCAAGTTTTTATTTCCTCACTTTCAGAACTCAAAGGCTACAAATGCCATTAAACTCTCACAGCAGTAAGAATCCTCCAAGGGGAAAAATATTTCAAGGGCTGGCTTAGATTCTGAATGTTACTATGGGAAGTGCTTATGAGTCAGGCTTAAAATATATGTGGGGAGAACGCTGAGAATTTAGGGATAAAGGCCTGAAGTTCTCAGAAGAACTGAGAAGGTGGATGTTGGCCAGGCCCATTCCACTCCGCCCCAAGTGTCCTCGCTTCTTGAAAGAGGGAGAAAGGTGGGGACAGAGAAGGGACTGATAGACACGGCCGGACCCCACCTCACTGCAAGGAGAGGAACTCCCTGGGCCTATGTCTGCCCCATCTGCATGATCAGTTACACAGTGTAACCAGGATTGATGAATTTGTTTCTGTATATTGCTGGATAACTAATTTTTGAGGCTCTGCTACGGTCTCTCCCAGCTAACTCACTCTGACAATGTAAAAGCTGAAAACCAGCCACAAGCAATAAACAGGCCTGGCTGTGTTCCAATAAACTTATTTATAAGAACACACTATTTGGCCTTTGGGCTATTCTTTGCCAACCACTAGTAATATCTACTTAAGAAAGACAATTTAAGGACCGGCCAGATAGCGCAGCAGATTAAAGGGCCAGCTTAGGCAGACACAGGGGTTGGAGGTTTGAACCCCGGGCCTGCTGTGCCGGCTCTGCCCCCGGGGCACACTGAGACAGTGATTGAGACTGGGCGTGGTGGCACATCTATAATCCCAGCACTTGAGAAGCTGAAAACAGGAGAATCACGAGTCCCATCTGTGTAGTGAGACACTGCAGACCCTGTAGACCCTGCACTAAATTTAAAAAAAAAAAAAAAAAGCTAATTAGTATTTTATTTATTTATTTTTTTTGGCAGAACCAGGGATTGAACTCAGGTCCTTGTGCTTGCCAGGGAAGTGCTTATTCTACTGAGCCACCTCCCCGGCCCCGAAGATTTAATATTTTAAAAGGCACTATAAAAAGATGAACCATAATGAAAGACAATGTAAAGGATAGCAAAAGAAAGAGGTTTATCTAAAAGAAAAATTTGTATCTGAAGTGTTTTCAACAAAAATAACAAAAACAAAGACCAAATCTGAAATGTATTATTTATCATGGAATTGAAGGGACTGGGGTGACAGCTCAGTGGTCTAAGCACCTGCCTGGCAAGTGCAAGGATTCGGGTTCCGTCCCTGATGCTGTATGTCATGCCAGCCACTGAAACTGGGCATGGTGGCACATGCCTGTAATCCTGGAGCTGGGGAGGCTGACACAGGAGGACTGCTATGAGTCCGAGCTGCACAGCAAGAGCCTGTGAATATGTAAAAGATTTTTTTTAAAGGTATCATGGAATTTAAGCCACAATTAAAAAATTTTAGTCATTATAGTGACTCTCAGCAGGGGATCATTTGATCTTTTTTCAAATTGAAAAGAATTAATGTTAAAGAATGAATTTCTAAGGGGCCAAGGAGATAGCTCAGTAGAATAAGCACTTGCCTGGCAAGCGCAGGGCCCTGAGTTCAATTCCCGGTACTGGAAAAAAAAAAAAAAATGAATGAATTTCTCTCTGTTTTGTTTGCTTTGTTGTCTTTTGTCAGTACCAGGGACCAAACTCAGGCCCTTGTGCTTACCAGGCAGGCACTTATGCCGCTGAGCTACACCCCCAGCTAACTTCTCTTTGAAAAGGGCTCGTGATCATCTGAGTGAATACTATCAACCTAGAGGACCATGTTGGTTTATTACTTTTGTAACGAGTTTTCACTAGAGATCAACACGAAACATCATTTACTTCAGCAGATGCTGTTTACACACCCGAGAGGGAAATCCCTGGCCTCTGCTGTGTTTTACCAAGTGTCCTACACCCGCCCACTGACCCCTCTGGACACGCTGTCACAGAACTTGCCGCCCGACTCTGAGGTGGAGTACCTGCATGCTCTGCAGAGGGAAGAAAACTGCTCTTTCTCCTGGTTTCTCTCAGAGCCTGTGATTTTTCTAAAATTTCAGAAGCACTTTTTTTTTTATATTTTAGGGAAGGGTCTACAGGGTGTTCAGTGTCTCACTACTAGATTAGACTCATAGTGATCTGCCTGTTTACAGCCTCCCAAGAGCTGGGATTATAGGCATGCACCACCACGCCCAGTCTTAATTACCATCTCAGCGCGCCCCAGCACGGCAGGCCCGGGGATCGAACCCCCAATCCGCTGAGCTATTTGGCCAGCCCAGAAGCCAATTGAATAACAGAATTCAGACTACAAATGATCAAAAACAAAGTCATTAAATGTTCAAATATTTTATGACGTAAAAGCCACTCTGGCTTTAACCCTCCTAATACCAGGCCCTCACTCTGAACACACTGACACTGTCACTCCTGTCGCTCTCTGGGGCAGCTCATCTTCACTGAGTGTACGGAGCTGCACCGTCATAGCGGGCAAGACTTGTACCTTTCAGCAACGCTCTGAGGATGAGCTGGACGTCGCAAGGCACTGGGCCCAACGATGAGGACGCATGCATGCCTCTGCCCTGGACGTCACGGGGCAGCAGCGACATTCATGGTCACACTGCAGAAAGACGCCCAGGGGGACTCCTAGAAATGCTTCCGAAGAAGGCGGTGACTGGCAGGACGGCCACTGTGAGGAGGGCGACGGCACGTCTGCTGCTGCACTGAGCATTCGCTGCGCCTCTGCCCAGTGCAACCACTCCTGCCCGGACACTGAGCCGGACGCGCTGCAAATGCAGAACTCTGAGCTGAGAAAGGTGACCGGCTCACACGCCCTGCGGACTGCGTGTCCCCCGCACTGACACTAAGTAAGGAGCTGCAGGAACAGGGCGCAGCGCTCCATAGCCCGCACACTAACACCACTGCAGCCAGACCTGTCTGCAGTTAGCTAAAAGGCACGATAGCCCGCGTCAGCTCACCCCAATTCTACCGCCGAACAATTTTGTTTCAAATTTGCCAACAGTCTTTTGGGTTTCATAGATTTTTAATTTCTGAATCTTGGAGGCAGTCGTATTAGCACAAGGCAGGAGCAAATCTTCAGGTCAGAAGAGCCCACAGGCACTTGGATGGCACAGACTTGTGACTGAGGACGCCTCCAAGGGTAAGCTCAGAGCCGAGGCCAACTCCGTGGAGGCTGGATGCCCACGAGAAGCGCGCTCTGCGAGGACCCTGAGCAAATCCGCTCCAGAGCCCACTGCCCCTGCTGTCACGGCAGGAGGGGTTATCGGGGCAGTGGCTTCCAACCAAGAGGGCTGTGCCCCAGAGGATTCTGACTACGAGCAACTTTTTAACCTTCGAGGATCCTGGTTTTCTCCCCAGTACAGAGACGGTTCTTGTGGCTCAGGCAGTAACTGCAACTCTATATTTTAAACAGCACTGAAATCCACAGAACAGTGAGAGTTTATTTTATACCCAGAACAGTACGTTTTTAGACCTGGCCACAGAACAGAAACGCATTAGGAGCCCTGAAAAATACAGATGCCCAGGAACACCGGGTGAAGACACTTAGCACTCCATGCACCAAAAGCAGAGCATCCCCTCTCACGCATAATTCAAAATATAAGCAACGCTGACCAGTGGAGCATATGGAAGGAGCCTGTGCCCGAGAGCTTTCCTGCAAAGCTCGGGCGTACTCTTCCGCTTCTCTGTTCTCTCTTAATTTTGATCCTCCTGTTCTTTCAGACTCATGGCGTGAGGCTGAGCCTCCTCCAGCTGGAGAGCCCTCTACGGGGACAGCCTGCCAGCCTGTGGCCCGAGCCCCGTGGGAAAGACAGGAAACGAGAAACGGCAGGAGGACGAGGGAAGGACGACCAAGGGGAAGACAGCAGGTTCCGCGGGCGGGCAAGGCTTCTGCATGGCCACCGGGGGTCTCCAGGCAGAGCCCAGGGACAGGAGTGCCACGTCTCCCAGACGGCCCACGGGGCTGCGGGCCCACAGAAGGCACCAGCCCCCGCAAACACAGCAGCGGGCTTCGCGGTGCAGCACAGGCTCTGTCTCTGCAGCCCTGTGCTGGGCTCTGTGCCCCAGACCCGTGATGTGTTACAGGGCCCCGGGAAAAAACCTTCCCCGAACAGCAGCTTTTAAATAAGTTAGCAAACTAGGCCTCTAACTCTCCCTGCTGCAGGATGAGAAGGGAAAGACCAATTAAAACTGTACACGAGTGTCTGACAAGCTCACAGGTCAGTACACCTACAAACAATGCTTCAAATGTTTTATTTCTCTCACGATTTATACACAATAGGCTTTGAAGGCATTTCGTAATGTAAAAGACAGATCTTACTATTCTTTACCAAAGATTACTTCTTTCTCAGGGGATTAAATCAAATAAAAATGCTACAAATAGTAGGAAACTCACTGCTAAGCCAAACTAAGATAATGAGCTTACAGATTTCTGTAAGTCCTCTTAGATCAATGTCCTGTACATCCATTTACAGAACAGACTATCAGTACAATGTAATTTTTAAATACTTAGGATGCTGTCAATAGTTGTGATTCATAGAAAAATAATCTATTCCATGTTAAGTCATGTTTAAAGGCACAAAGAAGCAAATATCTGCTATAAAACTGTCTTAATAAGCTGCAACTAGCCATTAATAAAGAAACCCAGTTTTTGAAGACAGAAGTTCTATATGTGTGCATCACCTTCATTCCCAGAAGTCAAAGGACACACCGAGGACGGCGAGGTCCGTCTGAAGCCAGGCCAGGCCCCGGCAGCGCGCTCCTCCGTGGCCCTGGAGGTGGCAGCTCTGTGGCCAGGCTCGGGCACATACACTGCTGCCAGCTCTTGCACCATCCAGCAGCAAACACGGGCCCAAGCAAGCCTTCCCCTCTTCATTCTCCACTGATTCAGTAATCTGAAACAAATTCCATGTTCAATACCACAAATAACTCTTAAGGTCCACCCAAATAAAAGACTTTTCAGTTTTTGGGTTTTTTTTTTTTTTTTTTAAGTTTGAAGAATAAGTCTCAGAAGAAAGATGCAGAAAGGACAAAACATTTTGGGAGCTGACGCCTCATACCGGCTCTTCACGGAACACATGGAACATTTCTTCTCCAGTGTTGCTGTATAAACCTATACTTTATTTATTTATAAAGCAATTCAAGATTTTTTACTCTCCCCAGTATTTAAAATGCATTTGTTAAGCACTAAAATCAAATGTAAATTTATGATGCTCTTAAAAGTCTTTTACCTTCTAGAAAACTTCTGGAAATACAAAAATATTGCATTATACATATTTCTGAGTCGCAAAAAATCTAAAGTGCAATATTTTCATTTATCAGCAAATTACAATTGTGCACAGGAGCTCATCCTAAAACATGTACATAACTTTCAGAATCTTGTGAGCGCTACATTACAGACAATGGAGCAAAGCTGTTTTCAGGAGTGATTCCCAATACTCCTTCTACACAGCACAAGGAAAAAAATGAGCAGCAAAACTTGTGCTATTTGGAGAAAAACAAGTTTTTGGAAAAGAAAGAGAGAAAACATGTATTTTTTTCCCCCGTTAGTGGTTTTTCTTCAACTATCTAGTTTACCAAAAATGTTCTTGATTCAATTACTGAACAATTTACATGTGTTAAAGTGTCCAGCATCTGTCTGGCTAAACCCTCTCAGAGCACACTAGTCATTCTAAACTCATTCTTTGGTGAAGACTTTGAAAATAACCTGGCTGCCTTTTACATCATATGTTAATGACAATTCCAGTCCAAATCTGAAGCAGTTCTTCGAGAGTCTGACCCACTCGGGTGGCAGTCGACAGGTGGACTAATACATGCGTGATTACAGAATTAGCAGGCAGAACTAAAATCTGCGAAGGGAATCAGCATGAACGACTCCAAGCAATAAAACTGAACAACTGCCTGACAAGTCCTCTTCAGCAGGACCCGAGGGCGATCTTCTCCTCCAGGGCCAGCTCTCTGGAACCTGGGACTACAATGGCACTTGAGGCCGGAGGCGCCTCACCGACGCCTGCTTCATCAGTTGTTGCTGCTGCTGTCTCCGGGCCTGCACATCTTCAATCGCACGGAAGGCTCTCTGCAAAACAAGCCTGCGTCACCGACTGGAAGACAAGAGCTGCGCTGTCAGCCCAGGCCCAGCAGCTGCGGACGTGTGCCGCAGAGGCAGTCTCTCCATCGTAGGGTCCTGTACACTACTTCAAGCCTATCTAGTAGGCGCCCAGAGTGGCAACTAGAAGAGCTCTGGGGAGAATAATGGGTATTAGTCGTAACAAGCTTTAAAAAAAATTTTTCAACTAAAAACCTCAACAGGGCATTATTTTTGAAACACTGGGAACTGAACCCCAAGCCCTACGCATGCTAGGCAAGTGCTCCAGCACTGGGCCATGTCCAATGCCCTTTTGCAGTTTTCAGATAGGGATTCCTTAAGTCACCCACGTCATTCTCAAATGTGCAATCCTCTGGTCTCAGCCTCCCCAGGAGGTAGGTGGCATTTCATGTGTGCACACCACACCCAGTGAAGGGTTCTATAACACAGTTTACCTGTGCTGTGGCACTATCCTTCAAGTAAATTTTCCGAAGACAGCCTGCACCGGCACCATCTTTTTTCTGGAACAGACCTTGCTCCTGTTTCAAAAAAAAAAAAAGGTAAAAAAAGACATTATTCTAGTGCTGGTAAGATTGCTGAGAGTTCTAAGCGCCTGCTTAGGCAAATGCGGGGGCTGCGGTTCAATCCCCAGCACCACAGGCCGTGCTGGACCCACCCCCAGGCACACTGAGCCAGCCACTGAGTCCCAGTGTGGTGCCACACAGCAGTGTGTGAACTGCAAGGCACGTGCAGCAAGCGTGGCCCAGCGCTGTGCTTCACCCAGCCACAGCTGACGCCCAAATCCCAGAGGGGAGTGGCACCGCCGCCTTTCTACTTGTAAATTTCCATGAAAAGGAAAGCAAGCGCCACGCACAACGCTCTCATCTCTATTAAACTTCCTGGGGAGTGCTTCAGCTTTGGTGACGGACTGACGACACCACGCGTGTGCAGGAAAGGCAAAGACAGCTACAGAAACTATCAAACTTGGAATTACAACTTGTAGTGGTTTAATATTTATAATGTATATAATAATATGCTTCCAAGTTAAGTGAGTGGAGAACCAAGCAAAATACGAGGTACGACTCTAGTTATTTGCTATATAATTAAAAGCTCCTTCTTAGAAAATGATGGGAGGAAAGATGTGAAAATGCTGCCTAGACTTACGCTGCACGAGCATTTACAAATGCCAAGGACTGCAAAACACAGCTAGCCAAGACATCTTTATTTTTACCAAAGTATTTAATAATGGCCTAAAAACTAAAAAAGGGATTATTTCCAGAAATGGCTAACATAGTAACAAAATAAGCATCCATATGCAATCTGTAAAAACCCTCCTACTCAAGTTTAACTGTACCATAAAAGGAAACGCTAGTGTCCGAGCACCCTCGCTCTTCTGCTAGATGGACTAGCACTGCACACTGTGCAATCTGCCAGTATTACGGGGCACAAATGGCTCGATCATATCTGTCCCTACGCTGTCATGTTCTGGATCAAAGGTGCCCTTCAGAAGACTCCTGTGCTCAGAGGCGGGGCACTGGGAAGGTGACAGGCGCTGAGCACACAGCAGGACTGACCTGCGACGAGCCCAAGCCCGCTGAGCTGCAGGAGGCGGGCCTGGAGGTGGAGGCAGGCCAGCGGGGCGCAGGGGCGACAAGAGCTTCCCTTCACACGCTGTGCAGCTGGCCGCAAAGCCGCCAGCACACGCGCGTTCACCCACTTAATGCAGGTCTGATTCCTGTTCGCTTACCTTCACTGAAATCTGAAGCAGGTTCTCACGCACGGTGGGAGGAAGCACGAAGTCCTCGAGTGGGTGCTGCCAGTCCAGAAACATGTGGCCGAGGATCTCCACCTCCTTCAGGCACAGCACTCGCCTGCCCCGCAAAAGAAAGCAAAGCACACAGGCCCTGAGGAGGCCCGCGACTCTCACCCAGCTCACTCGGCTGGGCGGCAGAGGCAGCACTCTTAAGAACAACGAAGATCGATGCTAAAAAATGTGTGCTGTGGGGGAACTACCCGCTTGGGCCCCTCCTGCTCCTCTCACGGGACAGGAGTTTTCTTTCTCTCAATAAATATATTCTGCTCATTAAAAAAAAAAAAAAAAGGTGTGCTCCCACGGAAAGTTTCCTTAACTATCACCCGAGCAAGGAGCACCCCTGCCACCTAACGAGGTGGCCTTTCAAAACCTGCCAGCCCTCCAACCTTGCAGAGCTCGGAAAAGTGTGACTTCGTGCTGTGACTGACCAGAACCCCGAGAGGGAACTCCTCCGTGGTGCACGGCAATGCGGGTTTAAAAGCAGAAGCCTGTGAAAGCACTTTGCTTGGAAAAGCGCACCTTGCTCGCTCCTCACTGTCAGTCCCGCGGCTGCTAGTCAGGACGGGGCACGCAGGACACGTCACAAGCCACCCACGTCACCGAAGGCCCGCTCTGGGCCTGCTGACAGGCACCAGGTCTGAAAGCGTGAACACTAACATCCTCTGTCACGGAGGAAGAATCTCATTTCACTCAACAGCACTAATATAAAACAAAGCAACAACAGTCTTTAAAGGGTGCCCACGCCGATCTCTCAGGCTGTGGCTCATGTTAATTACTGATATCACTGTTTTATGTTTAGGGTCCTACTACAGAAAGCAAATGAGAGCAGAAGGGCTGCTACTTCAACAAACATAGAGGCTGTGGGAAAAACAAGGAAGACACGTCTTCTACTTGAGCTGGGAGGGAAAACATACGTGTGAGCACACTGCACAATACCAGGAGCACGGTGACAAGGGATAGGAAGCCCCTGGAGTGCAGGAGAGGGGCAGATGGCCCGGCACAGGCCACATCAGCACTGAGGAAAAGAAGGAAGAACGTCTGGAGGAAGAACACAGGGCCAACACGGGCCTGCGAAGGGAAGACGCGAGGCGCACCGAGGTCTGTGGCTGGCTACCGACACACCCCGTGGGCAGAAAGCTAGCTCGGCGCAGGTCATAAAGGGCCCCTCTGGTGTTCCTCCTGGAAGAAATGCTGACTCTAATCTACAAGCAAGAGGAAATGACAGAAGTTTCTTATGCTCGGTCGCAGCTCTAGCAGCAAAGGGAGGGCTGGCCCAGGAAGCTCCTGCAACAGCCCGCACGGCAGAACACGCAGAGCGCCTCGGGGAGGGCAGCGCTGGACTCGGTCCGCAGGGAGCAGCCGCAAGGCCCCTGCTGACCGACAGGGTGTGGAGCAGGGCGGCAGGCTGGCACTATCCAGCAGCACAGGGGCTGGGACCTTGGGACTTGTTAGACAGCCGCGCACCACAGGAAGCCCGACGCACACAGCCCGCGCTTAGCAGTGCCTGCGGTGGCTCCAGCACCCCTCCCACGGCCACACAGGGGCTAGAAGGTGGACCACACTCCCCAGATGAGAGGCGGACGGCAGGGCTAACAGCTAAAGCCAGGAGTCACAGAGCAGGATGCCACACGCAGCTCACTAACCCAAGTATCTTTAAGTCCGTGTGTCCCCTCTTGTCCACCCCAGGAATAAACTACTGCACCCCTGCAACCCCTTCACTTTCTACCGCTCCACCGCTAATGAAGTTCCACTCTCAGGAATCCTCTTCTATCTGACACACTCCCCGAGGGGAATCTCAAGGCCACATTGTCACTAGAGTCCTACAGTGTGTCTGCCTATCCGTCCATCTCTCTCTCCTGGACCACTGAGGCATCTCTACCTTAACATCATAAAGTTGTCAAGCTCAATTTAAAAAAAAAAAAGCCCATCACCTTTTTCCTCCAATTACAATAAACTGCACCCAGGTGTTGGCGCTCCAACCCCAGCCAAGTCCCTCGGAGCCGCTTCGCCCACACCTCAGGCACCCGGGCCACCTTCACCTGACCTTCGCGCGCACTCCTCGCCAGCTCAGTCCTTCCTGAGGCCCAGAGCCACCCTGAGCGCCTGCACTGACACCGTCCAGTCAGCCCCGAGGCCCCCTTCAGCACGACGGCTTTCATCCTATGATCACACGTGCTTGAGGACACCAGGAGCTTGCAGCAAACGCTGTTACTGCAGGGGTCTCGATCACAGACTGCTTCAATCAAGGTCGGCTTCCAAGATGCCCACGACGTCCCCGTCCCTGGACAGGCAGCGCCGCTACTGCAACGGCCGAGCTTCCGGAACTGACACTCAGACTCGCTGCAAGCTCCACCGAAACCCCAGCGGAGTTCCCCACGTGGCTAGAGAAACTGCAGTGAAGGCACGGAGCCAGGGAGACAGAGAGCCGAAACAAGTCACCCGAGCGCCCTGAGCTTCGTACCTGCTCGTGACCATGAAAACTGTCCTCCTGCTCCCCAGAACGGCACAGTGGTACTGGTAGGTCTCCCCTTCCAACTTCTTCACGTGATTCTGGAAAGGAGGCAAGACCCACAGTTGGTGAGTCTATGGGCTTAATAACACAAAGACTCACCCACTGACTTATACAGAGGCAGACACTACACACGCGATAAAATGCCTGAAGGACAATCAGTGTTCGGAACAAATTTATTAAAATTAAAAAGTACAAGTCTACATACTGGCATGTGAAACCAGAAAAATTTTCATAACAGATTTCTAAATTAACTTCCACTGTTGTTTTAAAAGAAAGTTATGTATTAAATGCATAGCAAGTGATACTGTTAAAATAAATTTTGTGCTGTGATAAATTAGATATTTTAAAACATCAACCAGAAATAACACTTTAATTAAGGAACAACAAACATATGCTAATACAAAACCACTACACTGACATTTCAATGTTTCTCAGACTGCTGTTCACAGCAAAGATTTTGGGGCGAGCCTATAAATTACCTGAAGTAATTTTAAATTTTGGAAATATGGTTGTACATTTTTCAGAGGATAGTTCATATTTTTTTGTCAGATTTTTTTGGGGGGGCTGGGTGGAAAGACTCACCCACTGATTTATACAGAAGTAGATACTATACACGTGATAAAATTCCAAGATAAATGGAATGACAGTTTTTGAATATTTGGTTGTACAGGTTAAACATATACTGAAAAGTAAATTTATATATGAAATTATATTTCTAACAAAAATTGCAATGGTAATATTAACATGAAGACTAAAATTTCAAAATAGTTGGCATGATGCATTTCCATAGAGAAATACAAGCATGAAATAATTCAAGTATAAATAATAGCACATTAAAGTATTTATTTTTCTTTTAAACTATCTTAAAACTATTGACTTGAGCTAGTCAACACACATTAACAAACAATAAAAGGTATTATAATGAATAGCAATAAATTATTATTAGTGACATTTTCTATAATACAATGAAACCAGAGGATAATACATCTAGAAATACAGGACGTAAATATATTGGAACAAATAAGACCGTAACATTTTATAACCAATAATGCATACCAATATTATTAAAGGAAAATATAAGCCATCTAATCACAAGCAAAGAGTGCATGCCTATAGACATTCCTCTAACACCTGAATACAAGTTTTTACAAGCTGATGGTTCCCAGTCTTTCCTTGACTGTCACAAAGGCCAAGAACAGCAGAGGAAGCTGCATGGACCTGCGGCTCAGCCTCAGGCACTCCAGGGGGGTGGCAGCTTCCACCACGGGGCCCCTGCCTCACAGCGCACCTGGGAATTAGCTAGGTACTTTGCTCAACTGGGCCTCAATTTCTTCAAGAAGAAAATGAGAGAAGAATATAACAATTATGTGCATTTATTTTCAGCTTGAAATTTTAATGCTGAAATATTTAGTTTAGAATTGCAAGTGCAAGAAATAAGAACTACTTCTTATCTGAGCACGTTTCATCAGTTACAGACTCTGCATCTGGGCACCAGAAGCCTTATGGGCGCCACCACCGCGACGTGCTTCCGCAGGCCTCCCTGGCTCTGCTGGAAATCCTTCCCGCTCTGGGTTCAGAGGAAGACAACTGCCAATGGCAGCAGAACAGCGCCGCTGATAAAATCTCCACTCTCCCTCCTCTCGATGTAGCAAGGAGTTCAGCAATAGGATGCAAAAGCCCGTTACCCAGTGACTCATTTTTTGAGTTAATTCTGAGCACTCAGCACAAGATATGAAAAAGCAAAATGTATACTAATGTTTATCATAACATTATTACTGTTAGTAAAAGACACATTTTTAATACCATGAATTTAAAATAAAATACATGATGTAAAGCTACCCAAATGATGGTAATGTATGAATTTAAAGTATTAATGAAGCATTTCTAAGAACATGAAAAATATAATCAAGCAGGAAAGGCAAGGAACAACATTTTAAATTTTGAATAATCTGAATCAAAACAATATTAACTATAAAACCAGTTATGTACCTGTACATACAGTAAACAGTAATCCTAGGAGAACAGGGAAGCAACAGCAGAGCTCAGGCTAGGAACGCAAGGTGTGGGAAATCCTTACATCTGAGTATTAAAGAAGGCAGAGCAACACTCAGCAGGAAGGAATTGGGGATCAAAAGACCAAATAAACTACCGGAGTATGGGTCTAGTGCAGTAAGGGGCACAATGCCGGCACTCCACACTCTCGTCCTCTTTGCTACTTACCCTTTGTTATACTTGGTCCCTGGTGGACGTGCTACTTGTAAAAATACCCAGTACAATCTAAATAATCAACAAATACTTCTTACCCAAATAACTGAGCAAAGAAAGACAAGGGTGCAGCAGCCTACTGCCCAAGACTTGGGCTGGTCTCCCTTGGGAAAACACCAAGTCCTCTCGGTGACTTACATCCTATTGTTTCTTGTAACTATAATACATTACAGTTCAAGGGACTGTTCAATAACAAAAATTAATAAGACAAAATGACTGTATCTAAATAAGCTAATAAAGTTTCTTGAGGTTTTGTACTTTCTAACATACAATTGTTTAAAAAAGCCACATGGAAAAGGTTAACAAGGAGCTAGACAAAAAGACAAGTAAACAAGAAAAAAATCTTCAAGTATGCAAGTTCCCCAAAGTTAATTCCCACTAAGATCATGATACAGCCAGGGAAATTAAAAGTCCCTGTTCTTATCCAGGAATCTCCGGAGACAACTACAGCATCTCAAATCAGTGACCGCGCTGGGTCTCACTGAAACTGCAGGTGCTGGGCCAGCCTCGCCTTCCCTAAAGCACCCAGGCGCGAGGAGCCGGCCAACAACTTTACACACTTATGTTTTGTCATACTCGGTCCCGCAGGATGGACACTGTGTTGCCGGGGTGGGCAGGGTGCTGCGGGGCCGGCCGGGCCGCACGTACTGGGCAGGCAGGCAGGTAAGTGCTGGCCCGGAAGCCCTTCTCCGGCCCCAAGAGCAGCCGTTCTCCTTCCTCTGTGTGCCCTGCACTAGCTGGCCTTTAGATGCCATGTTTCCTGTAAAGCGTTCATTTTAAAAATGAATCATTCAAAATATTAATTATTTTGATAAGTGTAGTTTTAAAAAGTATAGAATTCAACTGAACAACTGTTGTATGTTAACAGTTTCACTGTGTTCAAATATGCAACATATTAAAAATCTAAATTTGTACTTTGGTTTGCTTTGCGTAGAGCATAAACTATGAGATGAGAACATTTCCATCATTTATTACAAAAATTTACCTTTTTATATTTTCTATTTACACTAATTAAACCTAAAAATTACAAAGCAAACATAACCAACAAGGAGACTGGATCTTTGAAAAGCCTAACTGTAAGACTGAACACGTACACAACATGGATTAAAAGGGGAAAAAAGAGAGAAGGGAAAGTCTCAAAATCTGTGAGACAACTCTCACTTAAAAGTGTCTGGAGACAAGGGCCGGCCTGACAGCTCAGCAGCGTGCGTGCCGGCCTGCCCCAGGCGCGCTGGGACGCGACCGAGACTGGGCAAGGTGGGGCGCCTGAAACCCCAGTGCTTCAGAGGCTGAAAACAGGAGGATCACTACGAGCCTGATCTAGGTGGTGAGACCCTGTAGACCCTGTCCTAAGCACAGGGGGGGAAAAAGTCTAAAGACAGACTCAGCAATCCACATTTTACTTATTGAAACAAATACCACAATTCATTGTCCCTTACCCTTGAGTAAGGTTAGTGATTTGGGAAGTAAGAATCTACTGCCTGCCATCATGACCTGTAAACCTGAGGACACATTCAACAAGCCAAATATAAAAACTATCCTTTTTTTCAATTTTTCCTGAAATGCACATAAATACCATAGATAAAATTTTCAAAAAGACAGTAAAATTATATGCTTTTGGACTCTTTCACCTACTAAATGGAGAGCAGCTGTTTCCTACAACCTTTCATCTTCTGCACTGCGCTCTCACCCCGATGCTGTATTACTAGACAGGCTATCGTTTGCATTTGTAATCAACTCTGCTCTCAAAAGCTCAAGCAGAGACGAGAGTCACAAAGGCAGCATCACTACAGCTGACCCTGAGCCTGACTCCCACAGTCCGTACCACACTCTGCTTTGATTTAAGGATGGTATCAAGTAGTAGTATAGGAAACATTTACTCTTGTATTTCCAGTTCTTGCTGTGTAGGCATAAAAAGAAAGAAAATAAAGTTAGAAGCATGCAAAAAGACAAAATGGAATATGCACAATAAAAACCAAAGGAAACAAATGACTAAGAGTCATTTATTTTAAAGTCAAGGAAGGAAAATATTAATACAATGTCTTTGGAGGAAAGCCAGTGATGGGAAAAGCAGCAGTCTATTTTATATAAACTGTTGAAATATAACAAAACTAAACAGACCGAAAATTTTAAAGGTTAAACAAACTGTACCTACATATTACCTTTCTTTCTCTCCTCCAGTTGCTTACCTGAATACATCTAGATTTACAAAGTAGTGCAAATGAACTAATTTGTTGGGGAGAAAAAACAGCAGTGGAATTCCAGTAATGAGCTACAAAGCAGGAAACCAAACCTAACAACGCTAACTGAATGAACACAGCCTATGGCTTCTTTGAACATCATCTTTTCTGCACCAAAAAGCTTTGCTCTGGTGCAGAAAAAAAACTCACCAGTTATGTACAAGTAACATGCCACCCTAAAATAAAAAAATAAGCCACCAAAATCCACCCTGCAACCCAGGGAACATCCCTCAGCGCAGCGCATCAGTCAGCAGCTATAAGGGGCCTGCAATCTGGGCTCTAGAATCCTTAAAGGTAAATGCTGCTGGACCTGGAGAGCAGGACTTACCTCAAACAAGTCAGAGCCCTCCGACTCCTGCCTGTCATACGGACGAATGACGCCGTCCTCCTGGATTAGGCGAGGAGGCCGCAGGCTCGAAACCTCCTCAGCTGACTCTGCTGCCCTGAACAGGGTGGCAGAAAATCCATTTTCAAAATAATACAAAAACACATACTGACTAACCATATAAATATGTGATAAAAACCAATGATAATTTTATGCAACCTGCCCAAAGTAAAGCAAAAAGTTTTAAGACCAATTTTGAACCCAAATCTCTTAACGTCTTCTTAAAGAAAAGGTCAGATACTAAAAGCAAACACCACATCACCGACTCTTTCATTTCTTGGTGTCCAGCACAGCCTCTGCGTGTGGTGGGACCAACAAGCACTTGGTTTCTGGCAGCTACATCATGTCATGGTGACACTTGCCTGGAACCCTCGCTACTCAGGAGGCTGAGGCAGAAGGATCACAAGCACTGGCCCAGCCTGGGAAGCTCAGCCTCATCTCAAAATAAAAAAAGGGGTAGGGTGCCAATCAGCAGCACACTGTCCTTAGTGTGACCTTCAGCACGCGTGTATGTATTTGCTGAAGAAGAGAAACTGGGCTGCAAACATCTTTTCTCATTCCTTTCTGGAGGTCTCCTACCTTGTCAAGCTGCCACAACGTCAGTGGGCGAGCCCGGGACCCCACTCCCGCCCGCACCGCGCGTGGCAGGCACGCTCACCTCTGAATGCCCTGGAAGGCGCTGCTGGCCATGTCCACAACCCCTCCTGCGGGACGAGCCACAGCGCCCACGAGCCCTTTTCCGATTCCTTTAAAGAATCCAGCAGCTCCCTCCTTTTTGGCACCTTCAGAAAAGAGGAGGATGAGTTCAGAGGGGTATCCGGAGTAGGCAGAGCCGTGCGCCAGACTGTGAGAGCCACAGAGACTTGGCTTGCTAAAGAAGCTGAATTTAATCCTCGCAGGACAAAACTTTGGGCCCTCGATGTATGCTACATGCAGATTCTTGGGTCCCAACTCAGGCCTACCGAGTCAGAACCCCCGAGGGTGGGTGGGGACGACAGACCAGCACCCTAGACCACCCTGTAGGACAGAGCTGCTCCTGGGACTGGCCAGCACCGGGGACTAGATGGCCTGAGAACTGCCCGGACGATATGCTCTCTTTTTTTGTGGCAACCATCAAGAATTTTAAAAGCAGCACGCCTTTAAAAATAAGTTAACTGAAAAAGTGAAATCACCACAATTTTTCAAACTTCGGATCCAAAGAGCTGTGCTCACCAGCAGCGCCCCCTACCCCCAGCCCTCCTACCGACCCATGGGGTGCACCTCTCCTTTCCTCCCCACTCCCTCTCCTAGAGACGCTGGAGGTTCCTCCAACTGGCCTATGTGGACACCTCCCAAATATGAAGCTACTCGGCCTGGGCTCCGGCGAGTGGGTCTCTGCACCTCACGCCACGTCTTCACGGTCATCCATCTGGCAGCATGTACTAGTGCCTGATCTCTCCTCGTGGTGGAGCAAAGCTCCACGGTGTGGCTACGCCATATTTCAATTACCCACACGACAGGTAAAGGGCACTGGGCCCTCCGGGCCTCTGCCAGTGCGCTGTCCGGGCACCTGCTCTCAACTCTCATGGGTGTGCATCTCATACCCAGAGATTCCCCCCAAGCCCACGCGAGGCCCTCGTGGCACAGGAAGGCTCCTGCCATAGGGGCTGCACCACTGCACATTCGGTAAGCAGTGTGCAAGGGCCCCGACTGCCCACTAGTCCCTGACCTTCGCCATCTTAACAGGCAGGAAGTGGTATCTCACAGTGATTTGACTTACACTTCCCTGATGACTAATGAATGTGCTTATCAGCCATTTCTACAAGTGATCAGAAAACATGGTAAAAGTTTAAACTGTAAGAAAATATATGGTACAGTAAAAAGCACAATGTCAACAAGCCCTCAAAACACTCATCCCTCCTGAAGTCCTCCTTCATGAGCACCTTTAGCTGCACTGTCACGTATGCCTCTCTGGCCAGAATCAATTCAGAAAACATTCCTTGAAAGGCTACTCTATGGAAAACTTTGGGAAACAGCCCAACAGTGATGGCATAGTGCCAGCCCCATAAACAAAATGGATGAGGACACAGCAGCGCCTCCGCGGGCCTGGCTTCCTGGGGGGCGGCCCTCGGCAGAGGCCGTGACTGTGCTTTTTATCACAACTCATAAGGACACCGAAGCAGGCGTCCACGATTGCTTCCGAAGTGGCAAGAGCAACGGTGAGCGGGACCGACCCAGAGGGGAGTGTTCGGGGGGATTCATGGCAGTGTCTTTTATTAATCTTTAACAAATCATCACATATTTCAATCACATCTCATGTCTTCTTTGGAGAAATGTCCACTCATATCCTTTGCCCACTTTAACTGACCCTTGTAAGGGTTCTTTATACATTCAACGCATGTCTTTTATCAAATATATGGTCTGCAAAAATTTTCTTTCAGTCTGTGGACTGTCATTTCTCTTTCTTGATGCCTTTTAGGCATAAAAATTTTAAATTCTAATGCAGTATAATTTACCTACTTTTTGCTTTTCAACTGTGCTTTTAGTATTACATCTAGAAAGCCTAAACCTATGCCCCAGTAACAGGTTTGCTTCTGTATTTTCTCTTCAGTTCTATAGTTTTGCGCTTAGGTATTTAGCCTACGTGGAGCTCATTTGCATACAGTCCAGGGTAGCTAAGAGTCTGATTTTATTCTTGTTCCCATCACATCACTATCCAGTTGTCTCAGCACCATCTGCTGAAGACTGCTCTTCCTTACAGGTTTATCTTGGCACCGCTGCCGACATCAATCGACCGCAGCCGGACGGCTCTATCTCTGGCCTGTCACCTGTCAGTTACGTGCCACTGATCTCTGCGTCTACTCTTAGGCAAGCGTCACTCGGCTTTCCCACTACAGCTCTCTACAAGTGTTCAAATCGGGAGGCGCAAGTCCTCCAAATTTGCTCTTCTGTTTTCAAGACTGTTCCAGCTACTTTGGGTCTCCTGAATTTTCATACAAATTTCAGATTCAGCTTGTCAACTGCCACAGGAAAGCCAACTGGGATTCTGACAGGGATTGCGCTGAAGAATACGTGCCTTTTAAATGAGATTATGAAAAAGAGAACCACAGAAAAACCTCGAGCCAGTTACGGCCCGGGTCTCAAAGGCGCTGGCTGGCCTGCCGGCGGCCCTGCCGAGCGCAGCACTCACAGGGGGAGCCTGACCCCAGCGCAAGGCGTCCACCTCTGAGGAGAGCACACCGAGTCACCGAAGAATGTGAATACAGAAGTCAGGCCGCGGTCTTCTCAAAATTCTTGTAGCAACATCTGTTATATGCTTATCACAGTTTCTCCAGCACTGACCTCTTCACTAACACCCCAACCTACCTTCCACGGGCTTTGTTATTATGCCGGTCACTCCACCAACAACTCCCTGCAAGAGAAATCAACCATAAAGGCTCAGGAGAGAGAAGGCGCCTAATTTTAAAGCAACCACTAGAGGTCTCTATAAACATACTAGGAAGAAAAACAAAGGCGAAAGACCCACTTGATAACGCGGATGTGCAAGCACATTATGATTTTAAATTATCACAGAACTTTTTAAATGCAAACATCGCACAGAAGGGAGAGCAGAAGAGCTGACAGAAAGACCCCGTCTGGCGCTGTTACCTGCCAGCCGTCTAAGCACGGGGAGTTGATTCAATCTCTGCATGTCTCAGTTTCCACATCAATAAAAATTAGTTGAGTGAAATAGTCTAATTATACATCTTAATGAGATTACTTTTTCATTTCATGTAAGTGTACAAAACTAAAAATAAAGAAAACTCTCAAGCATAGCAAATAACCTGACAAATAGAGCATTTTAGAGACTGTAACATAATTTTTAAAAACCGCTGGCTCAAACACAAATTGGAGTTTTCTGAAATTATTTCCAAAATTAAAACATTAATATAGTTATACATTCTTAATAATTGTCACAAATGGTAGGCTAGGCCAGGTGTGGTGGCACACACCTGCATGCCCAGCACTTCGGAGGCTGAGGCAGGAGGATTGCCATGAGTCAGAGGCCAGCCTGGGCTACACAGTGAGTTCAAGGTTAGCCTGCACTGCACAGCATGGCCCTGTCTCAAAAAGACCCACAAGAAACAAAGAAAGAAAAGGGACCTAGACTGTGTACTTCAAAGCGTTCATGTAAAAGTTCCAGGCTTCCTGAGCACTGAGCAAGGCACTTACTCGCAGGAAGCCCTTTCCTCCTCTGGCCAGGCTATCTCCAAAGTCTTTAGGCTGCCGGCCCATCTCTTCTCTTCTTTTTTGCTGATATTCCTTATCCATTGTAATTGCTGCCAAACCTTTCCCAACAGAACCAGTGATCCGGGATACAACGCCTGCTGCACCACCTATGGAAGCCCAGAGGAGAGAGTCACGGGGGGGCCTGGGGAGGCACCCCACAGGGCACAGCATGCAAAGCCTTCAGCCAGCAAATAGGGCTCATACGTCTTTTCTTACCATCTATCAAATATTGATGTTACACTGATTCAAGACTAGAAAGACATTTAAAAATCAGTAGGCTGATATTAAAGTATTTTTCATTTAAAAATATGCCTTTTAAAAGACATTAAGACAGTGATTCCACTTATCAAGTATAATCACTTTTTCATAAATGTATTTATAATAATATAACACACACACACACACACACACACACACAAATTGGTGATACATACCCACTGTGTGTCCAAAGAGACTTCTCACACCAATCACTAAGCCCTCCGCAAATTCTTCAGGACCTTGGACAGCACCCTGGCACAAAGGAAGGTGACTAATATTCAGTTAAGTTTAAGACTTCTAAAATGAATACAATGAATGTATCAATATTGATAAAGGCTAACTAGACAATTTTCATCCTCTTATCTCAAATATTGCCAGAACATCACACTAATCAAAGATATTTTCTTCCCACATGACCTCAGCAACATCCCCGGCTTTAATGCTAACTAACCTTGTCACACAAAGCTGCCTCAGACTGTGAAGCCACCTACAGGCCCCGTGAGTCCGTACATATTTTGGGCTCTCCAGTTCTCCCCCTTGTTCTCCCACTTCGTCCTTCCAAAACCCTCACCGCACTGGGCTCCCAGGCTCTTTGAAGGGAGGTGGACAAATCAGATGAAAGCCTGAACATGGAAGTAGCTTGGGCTTTAAGGCCCCACTCGTCCTTACTGCACCGGGGCAACAGCTTCAAAACAGTCTTCAGTTTATCTGGTATTCTAAATATACTAATAACTACATTAAATGCGAGAACATAGGCAAATTTCATTGTCCGGAAAAGCACCACAAGCGTTCATTCAATTCTAAAACAAGCTTTCAGTGTCATCTCCAGTACTTTTAAATAAATATGTAAAATTTATTTTTATTAAATATTAGTCATCACTAGATGTAATTAAAACACAAATTACTGTCACTGAAAAACTTTATACCCATTATTAAACCTTTAAAACATCAATACCTGGAAGGGCTCATAGAAAAATGCTTCAACTCCTTCAGACAGCCCTCTGATTAATCCAAACGGGTTTCCAAGCACATCCAAGCCCAACACGAGGACATACATCTGCTTCAGGAACTAAGGGAGACAAAAGGCAAAACTCAGTCCTGCGCAGCCGTACAAAGCAGCAGCGTCACAGCACGGCAGGGCAGGTGTGCTCCAGAGGGCGCCTGGGCTAAGACAGCCGTGCCGGGCCGTGACCCCGCCCCAGCCACCAGCTGCCCCGCACCGTCACAGGCACTGTGCCAGCACGGCTTTCCAACCAGAGCTGAGCGTGAGGTGCTGCCTGCCCTTTAGCACTGATGGCGCCCGCCACAAGCCTCGGAGCGCCTGTCGGCCTCGGCCTCATCTACGAAATGGAAAGCTCCGTCAACCTTGCACGGGCAAGAATACCTCCTGAACAAATCATAATTCAGTAATAGTGGTTGTCATTTTTACCTTGCTATCACTACTAACTTTAAATTATGTGAAGAATAATTAGAAACTAAAACAAAAATAAGAGAAGTTAAATTTATTTGAACATGCAATTACCATAACGTCTGTACATCCTACAGAAGACACGATCTTCCAGCAGAAGATGAAAGAGGAAGTCACCTGCAGTCACAGGGTGCAGCCCCGGTACCACGGGGCAGCAGACACGCAGGAGGGAACAAGACCACAGCCTCTCCCGCAGGCCACTACACTACGCTTCAGGGACAACTGTCCCTGAAGAGCTCAAGAGTCATGACACCAAAATCACTATTCTTCGCACAGTGGTAATAAGTGGAAAGGGGAAAAGGCACAGCAGGAAATTTTTGAAAGATGTACAACGGAATTGAAGAACAAACTGATCGTTTAAGAAAAACACCAAACACTGAAATTATAATTTGAGGTAAAGGGGCCGAAGATACAGCTAGGTGGCACAGCACCTGCCCGGCAACACGAGGTCATGAATTCGATTCCCCATACCAAAACAGAAAAAAGAAAAGCAGCAGCTTCGTAGACAGTACCACATATGAGACAAGCGCACACAAATGCTTTCTTTTGGAACTTCCTGAAGCCTACTCCTCGCACACCGCCGCCTGCCAAGAAATTACCTGCTCACTGTAGTGCCTGACGACGCTCCACACGAGCTGGTCTCGCCTGTAAAACTGGTACTGTACTTCATAATAAGCAAGTCTGGGAGGAGAAAAAGGAAAATTTCAAGGCACTAAAATTACATTCTGGAAAAATAAGGACTTAAAACATCAGCGACAGCTCGCTCCAGTCACAGTGCTTTCACACCTGACCTTGCGTGACACGCTCCTGGCTGGGGTCTACATGTTAGGGTAAAGGGTGATGTAAAGTGGCACGTTCTCGTGCAGGCTGACGGCAAACACATGGGAGAGGAGGCGATTCCTTAAAGCCAACCACAATCGCACCACTCTGGAGTTTTTCCAGTTTTCTCGTTTCCACTTTTAATTCTTTTCTCCGCCATTTTAAAGTATTTACAACGTGTCATGTGCCCCGTGACACTCCAGCACGGAGGCTAAGTATCTCTGTATCTCCCAAGTTCCATGAAACCGCTCTGGGCGCACAGCACCGACTGCCGGTCTGAGAGTGTGACCGCTTTCAGTGACGGCTGCCACCTCCACTGCCCCCAGGCCCAACTCTATGGTAGTAAGGCCACCACCTGTGTGCAGAATGTAACTCTCTGCATGCTCTTCAAGGTTATTTTTTTCACTAAATTCCCAGAACAGATTTACTGAATGACAGACCACAAAAACAGACTTTTGATACATGCAGTTTTTCAACTTACAAGCACTGCAGAAAAGTGTCCATTTCCTAAATCCACTCCGTCTAGTACGAAGACCGTCCACATTTTGAAATTTATGATAACTAGTGCTGATGCGCATATACTTTTGATAAATACTATCATTAGACACTGAAGTATCGGCCGGCCACTTCATCTTCCCTTCTCCGCGCGCCTCTCGTGGCTGTGCACACGCCGTTAATCACCCCACGCTGGGGGTCACTCTACCCCTAGCTTTTGTTTCATCTTCTCTCATTTTACTATGAAATAGTCCATTTTTATGTGGTCCAATCTATTTCGTATCTTACAGCTCAGATTGCCTCTGCTCACAGATCTGACAGTATTTAACTTTTTTAAAGTCTATTCAGTTTCAATTTTACATGGTAATTTTATCCTTTATTTCCTATGAAATTTAATAGTGCAGTAGTCCCTCACTTATCGCAGTAAGTGAAAATCAGCGAAATAGCGACCTCATCTTTATTTTAGTGTTTATATGCATTTTAAGGCTTTATAAGCCCTCCCCACTCTTCTAAACCTTTCCCATGCTTCTAAAAGCATTTCTACTGTTCTTAACCATTTTCTAAACTCACCAACCTGCGTAATTGTAACAATATACATATATGTACAGTATAGCAAAATCCCGTGATATGGGGAAAAATCTGCGTAAATGATTTAGATTAGTATTTTTTGAAAACCTGCAAAACAGTCCATGAAAGTCGCACCACGAAGCAGCAGGGATTACTGTATGCATACAGGATGGAAAGAAGTGGAAAGAACTTTCTCCAGCCTAAGTCCTTGTCCCGATACCACTGTTGAATATTCAATACCATAATCAGTTTTGAATTTACATGTAGCTGGCACACATAAATATCCTCAAAATAAAAGGCAGCAAGCAGTTGCCTTCTTTCTATACTTTGCTGGATAGCTACAGTGAACTCTCACCCCACTGCTACGTATGTCTAAATACAGTAAAATATAACATTTTTATTCTATATTTAGATTACGCAGATATGGGTAATCAAAGAAAATATAAGACTTCATCCTAACAGTTATTAATAAAATAAGCACATCTAACGACCATCATCAAAAATGGACCAAACTCTTCAGGTAGTAAGAGTTGTCAATTTCCTAAGCTAGTATTACAGAAATAGAAAAATTAATAGCCAGGAACCCAACGTTGGTGTAAGCGGCTCCCGCTGCACTAGAGCAAAGCCTTACTTGAAGACGAGGTCATCCACGTCGGTGAGGGTGGCGCCGATGCTCTTCAGCAGCAGGTTCACAGAGTGAATCGCAATCATTTCCTGCTTGTCGGACTCCTCTCCTCCAGAACTCAAAGACAGACTCAAATGCAGCTAAAAGAAACACAACATTCAATAAATGAAAGCAGGAAGACAAAAACTCCAGGAAGAGCGCCTCCCGCGGGGCACGGCGGCTGCACGTGTCTTTGCATTACAGCCCCACTGGGACCTGCTGTTCATTCTGTACACAGACAGAGAACTACTCACTTCTGTCTGATTCTCATTTATTTTTTGATTAAATACAAGTGATCCGACTCAAAAACAGAGCTCTATTTTCATTCTAAGTATACAGATACCATTGTGTCAGTATGAAGAAAGTGAAACCCTGTAGAAAAATGGGGTATTTTGAGAAGATATCACCTGGCACAATCTGCCAGCTAAAATAGGAAATTACTTTCATCCAATTAAGATACATAACTCATAGCAACAATTAATGATAACAATTATGTTTTAATTACACTATAAAAACAATGAGCAATGACATGACAATTATGGAACAACTAGTGAGTTGCCAAATGAGCAGTTACAAGAGTTATAAGGCTTTCACTTTCCAGGCCTCCAACTCGGTGCGGGAGGAGGAGCTCTCCGCCTTCCCACCTGGCTCCATGTTACCCAACAGCACACCCGTGCGCTGGGGCAGCCCGAGCTGTGCTGGCAGAGCAGACGACTGTCCTGCTGCACTCCGTCCTGCTCCCTCCCGGGATGCTCCGCCTCACCCACCTGGAGCTACACAGGGTGGACTGGCACTAGCGCAGAAATCCAGCTTTACGCTCTGCTGGGTTTTCTGTACTGTGGACATCCACCCATGTGCAGGCTTACTGAGCGCAGGGAGCCACCAAGCGTTAGGCTGCCCTTCTCCCCAAGGCAAAGTCAACGTGACAACAAAAACAACTGCAGCTCACGATCCTCATTACTGTACTGCATGGTATAATTCCCAGCGTGTCCAAGAACATGAACAGAAAAATTACTGATCTTCAACACTCCTTCAAATTATGAATTCCACAAAGTCACTTCATGTCTGACCAGCAATTTGGATAACAGGAATTCAGTAAATTGTGTTGAAGACTATTATTTAATCCCATGAAGAACTGATTTTGCTTACTAATAAGAAACTTTATATAACCTATCACAAAAAATACCAATTTTAAACCTGATATGATGCATGCATCTGATATCATGAAACATATTTTAAAATAATCCTATTTTATAAAACCATCCATTTAAGCTCAATTGATCAGTGAATGCAACTGAAAATAAAGTGTTGTAAACAGTTTTTGAGAATGTAAAGGATCATCAACATTTTACAGAGTTTCTTAATTATAAATCTGGTCCATTGCACAAGTTTAGAGCCCTATGGTTGATAGGATTTGTAAGCTTCCTAAGTAGTCACCTTTCCCTGTAAAAGCTAGAAAGAATGAAAGGGGAAAAGGAAATGGGTTCATAAAGTACAAAATCAGGCAAGTGAAAGGTATCCAATTTTCCACTCCCGCAGTTACAATCAAATTTTGGAAAGAGAAAAACCCTCACATCAACAGTGTAATACCAACTTCAGCGCTTTCACATTCTGGCTGGGGCACCCATTACAGCTTTCTGTTTAGACAGTGACAGTAGTTACGAAGTGCAACCGAAACATTAGATGTTGGTGAGCACTTCCACACGTAATTAAGAAATGCCTCTGTCAGCTTCTTCCTGGAGTGCGGGGTTATTAGTCGAAGCCAGAGCACACGCTCTAGTGGTTTCTCTGTGGGAATTAGGACTGTACATCTGTTACAGAGAACTATCTTAATTATTACCATTAATCAAAAGAAGTGCTCACCAAATACTTGATGTAACAAATTAAAAACACTTGCATATGGCCCTTTAAATGTCCTAAAACAATTACATTAAAATTTCAAAATAATAACAGACCTTAATAGGAGAAATGTGGAAATGTTCAAAGAAACTAAGAACTGACATATCGGTCAGGGATGTCTCCATTAATTCCACGTTTAGAGCATCAATATCTTGCTGGAGTAACTGTGTCTGAAAAACAAATCCAGAGTTTCTTTTCATTTTTTCTGTATTACAATGACCTTACAAGCTCACTGACTTCGTCTTTCTCAGTTCTCACTAGGAACGAAAATGTTACCCGTTTGCCTTCAGCATCAGGATCACTGGTTGGGGTAAACAGCGCGACAAGAGCGCCCAGAAACCCCTGGTCGACTTTCAACGCCATTTCCTGAATGAGGACCATGAAATACCTGCAGGAAAAACAAATTCCAAGGTGGAAAAGCGTTTCAATCAAACTTGGTGACTCTCAGTGTTAAAACTTGACCTGGGTCAAAAGCCACAGTAAGACAGTTACTTCATCTCTGAAAAATGACATCACCAAGAGCAAGTCCCACTCAGGCGGGACATTCGCACTACAGTAATAGCTGCCCTTTGGGGTAACACAACACTCAGCACTCGAAAACCTCAAGGTAGAGATAAACAAAATTAGAAGATGCAGCACGTGTCCTTCAATTTGTAAAGGTTACAGCAACCGCTTTAAAGAACACAGCCCACAAATACACGTATCATTTATACTTCATCACTTTATACTCTAACTGGAATTACAAATGAAGGTGATGGTTAGAGTTCTACATTTTAAGATATGTATAGGCTATTATTAAAATAAGGGTAAAAATTTCCTGACTAAAAGCGGATTCATATGTTCAGCTGGAAAACAACCTTATACAGAAATCACTTGAAAAGAGCAGGACTTTCAAGATAAATTATCATTTGAGATTCTTTTAGATAAGCAGTGAAAATCTTGAGCTGAGCACAGTGGTGCATGCCTGTAATCCCAGCACTCAGAAGGCTGAGGGAGGCGGATCGCTGTGAGTTCAAGACCTGCCTGGGCTACAAAGTAAGCTTGAGGCCAGCCTGAACTGCACAGCAAGACCATGTCTCAAAAAGAAAAGAGAAAAAAAAAACAAAACAGTGAAAATCTTTACTCACTTGAACTGTAACACTTTACTGTACTCATTAAATCTTGTGATTACACTCACATCAATGAAAGGTTTGGGCTCTAAAAGGAAGAACACAGCAGAAAAAAATGTTTTACACAAAATAAAACTAAAGTCTACTTAAATCTATGAGCAGGGTTTGCCTGCACTTCTGCTCTTTACCTGAATCCAAAGCAATGGACTTCGGAGGAGCCACAGGATGAAACACAACAGGGAACATTGTACCTGGTAACTGATTGTCAATCTGAAAAAAAAAAGACAACCAGCTCAGGTTTTAATTAAACAGGCACACAGAAGAAGCTGCTGCTTTGATCATAACTGCGCATCTGCTGGTCCACGTGACACTTGACAATCCGTAAAACTTCTTACATGCCTCACCGGGGACAGGCCCTTATATGAAACTTCCCTCACACCTGCATTAACATGTGTACTAGTAGTGTACATATTTGAACCCGTGCAATCTATGAGACTTCTATCTGTGGCTTAAGTAAAGTGTAAGTAGCTATGAAATTAGAGAATATAGACTAAAAGAGAAAAAAAATGAAAATATCTTAAATAACAACAGTTCAAAGGAAGGACACAAGGAGGAGAGGAAGCCATCAACAGCCCACAAGTAGCCTCCAGTACAGCCCATTCCTCCCCAGGACAAGTAACACAGGAACGGTTCATTTGAGAATCTCACCACAAATGCAAGGGACATGTAAAAATAATGTCCTCATAAGAACTCAAAAGAAGAAATATAAATAGAAAGACACAACACATTTAAAAGGAAAGCAAGAACTTGAGGACTAGACAATGAAGAGAGGGCAAGGAAAAAAGCTGGGAAACATGACAGGGGCAAAGCCATACATTTATATGCACAAGATGGGTAAGGCAATGATCCTGAGAAACATTAGCAGGTTTTTGAAACTAGCAGGCAATGGGTAGGATTCTCACCCTGACTAACTATATATGCTGACACAAGCAACTGCACTGAAGATAGCAATGTGTAATAGAAGGGTCACGCTCGGAATGCCTGTCATTCTGGTCTTCTAAATACATACTTCTTGTCATGACATACCAATTATTACCATACTGTCTCTCAAGTAAAAGTTTGGTTTTTTTTTTTTTTAAATAAAGGGTAATAAATGAAAAAAAAAAGACACAAGGAAAAAATGTCACAGGATTGTTCTGCTACGATGCTGTATATGGTTAGATTTCTAAATTTCTGTGTAAAAATATGTTTATTCCTATTTTTTAAATGATTTTCTTTCATATTCTGTAGGGACTTAAAAGTTTAACATATCAATACCTGATGGAAAATACCTGTTCCATGTTATGCCTAAGAGGTTTGATATTTAGACAGAAAGGGTAAACTGAACTACCTATGTTGCAGGGTAATAATAAGCTTCTCTTCTGAAGGGTTAACAACCTAAGTTTGCAGATCAAAAATTAGAGGAAAGGAAGGGCTGCAAGGACAGCCAACATTTTGGCCCTAGCCTTTCAAGGTCAGTGAAGACTCAGGACATAGGAGAACCTGTACTGTAACATCATGTAACTTAGTTGTGCCCCAAATTTTCTGATCAAGGAGATTATGGAGCCACAGAGGAAAGTGATCAATGATGTACAGTGTGCCTGGGGAGAGTCACATGGAGAGAAAAAACATTCTTTCAGGCTTTCGCAGAGAGCAAATTGGTCGAACAATGGCCGTGACTCATCCACATGGCTGACACTGACAAAGGATCTACAAAGCGCAGTACAGGGCTACAGGATAAATCCTGAGGGGACTTGACTGATCTTATCAGATACAAAAGTTACATTTCTTGTTATAGAGGTCTTGCTTTATCTTGGTCTTAACCATCCAGCAGAAAAGTATAAAAATGAGGTATATAAAGTAAAGCCATATTAATATGCTGAGCTGTGAAAGGTTCAAGTCAATAACTTCTGCAGATAACCCACTACTAGTGTGGACTGCTGGACTGTGTTGGATTGTTTAGCTGAATTCACGCACCTATAGTATTTAGATGCCAATGGAATACCCATCTCGGACAGGACTAAACAAAGAAAGGGGATATAAAGGAAGGACTATTTTGTATCTGTATATATAGAACAGTTAGGATAGATATGCAGCTACTTTCGCTTAATTCAATGAGAAGAAAGATGTGTACTAATAGCGTTTGGACAGGATATCCTGCCTGCTTCTTGTACTATGGATAACCACTAAGAAGATAATGTACAATGTATTAATTACTGAAACTCTCCTATTAATCAGTTTTGAAACTGTCTCATTGCTATTTCTCAATAAAATAAAATAAAAAATTTTTAAAAAAATGATGTCCTCTCAGGACAAGAAAGCCTGGGGGCAGATTAATGGGCAAATTCCGGTTTCCTTTCTCTCTTTTTTTTTTTTTTATTTTCGAGAAGGGTCTACAGGGTGTTCAGAGTTTCACTACTAGAACAAACTCATAGTGCTCCGCCTGTTTACAGCCTTCCAAGAGCTGGGATTACAGGTGTGCACTAGCACGCCCAGTGTCAATTGCCATCTCAGCATGCCCTGGGTGGGGCCAGGATGGCATGCCCAGGGATTGAACCCCCAGCCTCCGCGCCTGCTTACAGGTGCTTTAATCCACTGAGCTATCTAGCCGGCCCTGAATGGGCAAATTCAACAGCGTCAAGACTCTTGCGGTCTCTGAACACAGACTTTAAGGGAGATACTGTGCCCACAGGCTATACAAGAGAGGGAAAAAAATGCCAAGTAGGAGATGCCAATCTCTGTGTTTCTGACTCTGGCGCAGGGCACTGTCCGGGGCCTCACGAGCCCACCCACTGCATGACACTCCCAGGTCCACAAGACCCACGAGGCGCACCAGCGTTGGTATAAACACTACCAAGGTGATTACATTTATGCAAATAAGGATGGCAGCTCTCACCTGTAGCCAGTACAGCCTGGCCCTTAAACTCCTCTGATGAGGAGACTGCTTAAATTCAACCTGAATTCCTGATAGAAAATCTCGTTTAATAGGGCACCGAATGGGAAGACGCATTTCCATGGGAACTTTATCAAAATTGACCTGGAAAAAAGCACATTTTCCACAATGAGTTAGTGTTCTCAGAGTATCCCGTCTTACATAACTGCGTGTAGATGAAACTGAAGGCGCCAGAGACCTTTAATTCTGAGTCTCGCCCAAAGCTCTTGAGGCCATCTACAGCTGAGCTCTCTGAAGCAGAAAGGTACTAGGGAAACACCGTATAGTCAGCAGCCTGGGTGTGCCCAACGCTGGCGGCACGCCCCAGCCCCAGCCGTCACTTGGGCACAGCCGGCACGGTCAGGGTGGGGAGCGCAGCCAGTGCGGACTCGGCTCTCAGACAGCAAGACAGAGCTGCGCAGCGCTGACGCGCAGCCCGCGAGGCGGTCGCTGGGACCAGGCTCGAGGACTCTGCAGCGCACCCAGGCGCCTCTGGATGCCGGCATCATCTAAACGTAAGAACTGAGCGTGGTGTCCGTGGCTTCTCCACCAGTGAAGAGTCGATACAGCTGCCTTCACTTAGTAACTGCAGGCATAGCTCAGAACAGGAGTAACATTTCTAAGAAAGCCCCACAATTGCTGTATAATCTTAAAAAGTTTCACAAAACACCTGCAAACTGAACAAGTAATAAAAATACAGAAGAGAAGCGTTTAAATCAGGCTTCACAGTATATGACTGCAATCTACATTAGATTATAATAACATTATATAGTATTTCAATTATACACTGATTTTCCTACTAATAAGCATTTACTAATAAATATATCAATTTCTATACACAATGGACAGTAAAACTACTCACCCCCACTACCAACTCCAAGAAAATATACCTATAAAACTCAAAGCAAAAAACTGAAGAATACCTCAAAATTATTCTCCAGCTTCACCCAGCCGCGGCCCGGGGAGCCCTGGTGTCTCTGGTACGACTGCTCCAGGAGGATTATCTGCTTTTGACTAAAAGGCTTCCATTTCTGCTTTGGTTTCATTTCCCAAACCACACCAGAACTAAAACAATTCACACAGAAAACTGAATTAGCAACACAGACTTAAGTTTGCAGAACTGCTATTCAACTCAGATCAGTACAACCGCCCACATCCTCTGGAAATTACATTGATAAAAGAGATTTCTACAATACCTGATGCCACCTGTGTTGCAAAAGGGAGGTTACCTGAGTATTTACACAGCTACAGACTTCCATAAACTTTTTAACTGCTACAATTTAAAATACAAAAATAATAATTGAGTATAATTTCTAAAAACAAGGTTTACTAGTGAGAAAAATATTCTTCTTTTGTGGGAGTGAATCAGCAGGCCCTACCAAATCCCCCGCAGGTGTCCTTCGGCTGCCGCAATGTGACGAGGGTCTAGAAGTGATGCCTTGGAAGCAGGCGCTGCCAGACGGGGCAGTGAGCTAAAAAGTGCTGGTGAGACTGTTTTAATGCTCTTTTAATTATGTCAATGTATGACTTGAAATCCATTCATAAAACCTTATGGAATCCTTTTGTTGATATTTGTTTTTTAAAACATTGTGGATTAGGTGGAAACTCCTCACTTGCCAAATGGATATTAAAATGAGGAAATGTCGGGGCTGGAGAGATGGCTCAGTGGTCTAAAGCACCTACTTGGAACAAGCTTGGCGAAGCACAGGGACTGCGGTTCAATCCCCCAGCACCACATGCCAGCCAGCCACACACACACACACACTCACACACATTAAATAAATGTTAAAAAATAAAATAAAATGAGGAAATGTCCTAGTAATCTGCAGTGAGGTCAGAAAGCAAGCGAGCGCTGCTGGACGCTCCGAAGGCTGTAAAACGCATTCCCTCCGAATGCTTGGCACACTGGACGTCCCGCTTCTTGTTTGAACCCTGGTCAGCACCGGAAGTACACGCAGCAGCTCGATGCTACTTACTACTCAAGTTTTTTTTTCAAAACGAGCCCCCTGAAATGTAAGCTTCGCATGTAGCACTGTTAGAGCCTTCTAATTTTGGGCTGAGAGTCATTCAAAAATATTATCATGGCCTTAGCAAAAATAATTCCCAGAGTCACTCCATGTTCAGCAGCGACCACAGCTGATTCTTCGCTTCAGAAACTGTTCACTTTGGCCAGAACCCAAGACGAGAACAGCAGGGTTAGCACTGCCACGCCGCACGCCGGTGCATCCCTTACAACAGATGAGGAAACTGGGCTTCCCTTTCCAGTGTTCAGAAGCCAACAACAGCCAGCCTGCGAGCTGGGTGCCGCTCACCGCAGGATACCTCGGATCCAGTAGGAGAAAGCTGACGGAGCACTCCCCGGAGAGCACCCACCGACAGGCAATACCCAAGGAGCATAGGCTCCACGGCTGCGCATGTCCAAAGCTTTCGCCACTTGTTCCACCAAGTCTTTCTGCACTCCCACTGCCCGCATTTGGTGGCAGGTGCCTAGAAGAGCTGCCTCAATGTTCAGTTCTGCTCCTTCAACCTGGTCCAAGGTACTCGCACCAACGCTTTTTCTATGCAGACTACTGACAAGGGCTAATTCTTCAGGTACTTCAGACTCAAGCTTGAATGCTCTGATACGCAGCTCAGCGGCTCTGGGAACACCTGCAGGCCTATCCAGAGCGCAGACCACGCACTCACACTGCACCACTGGCCTGGCTTTTCCACTGACTACTGACGCTGCCCTCCGAGTCCCTGCTGCTCTATGGAACTGCTCTCGCTGAAGGGCTTCAAACAGGTTGGCTTCTCCGGGCGCTTTTCTTTAGCTCCGGTGCCAGACATGAGCCAAATGATGCTCCACGGGTAGAAGGGCTTCCCATCTTGGCTAAGGAATGACTCACTCTGAAACTCACTTCGGTTACCACCTCTTTTTTTTTTTTTCTGTACTTATGTCAAGAAATTCTGTTGTGTTGTATTAAGACATGATATTTGGAATCCTCTGGACATTGTTTTCACATGGTTTTCTTCACGCATGCTTCACTCATAAAGACTAATGCAGTTCATATTATTTCAGTTCTACTACGAAGCTGTTATGTAATAAGCCAATGCTCCACCACTTTGAAGTGTTTTGGTTTTTTTTTTTTTTTTTTAAATGGGCAGGTCCACTTTGATAGACCACCCCCAGCACACTGCGCCCTCAGGGTCACCTTCAAAGGCCACCACTGGTAATGAGAATAAACGTGCAGGAGCAAGCAGCGTGAACAGCACATACCGCGAGTTGGAGCTCCAGCCTCAGACAAAGCACAGCGAACACGCCTAAGTCCCGAAAGCCTTGGGAGCAACCAACCATGGCTTTCATGTAATTGTCATGTAGTGGTTTTTCTACCTTTTAAACATGTAAAGAATCAGTCTTAGATCAAAAGCCACAGAAAAGCAGGCAGCAGGCCAGACATGGCCCTCGGCCATCCCTTGCTGATCCTCGCAGGACATAACACTGCTTCCAGAATGATAAAACGCAGACCCACAATACATTAATTTGCATAGCACATTAGCCAATAATAATCACAAAAATCTTCACCACATGATGTTTAGGCGTTAATGAAATTACCAAACAAAACTATCTACTAGGAATTATACAAATCCACAAAGTCTTTGTGATAAAGCTCTGAGCAAATCAGAAGGAATCGTCCTCAACTTGATAGTGGGCCTCTCCAGGACCTACCCCTGACACCACCCTTCAGGACAAACCCGGTGACTTTGCAGGACGACCAGGAACAAGGCCGGGATGTCCACGCCCATCCCTCCCACTCAGCACGCAGTAAGACAAGAAAATAAAGCAGCGTAGGCATGTCGGGAGGGAGGGACACAGCTACCATCACAAACGACACAACTGTCTGCACAGAAAATCTCCAAAACCAACCAAAGAAGCCCACCTAAAAACCCACCTCTAACCAAGAAGCAAGTGAACAAGGTTGGGGGGCCAGAGAGAGAGCTCGGCAGTCTAAGTGCCAGCCTGTCAAGCACAGGAATCCAGGTCAACCTCAGGTACCACACGCTGTGCCAGCCCCGCACCCTGCCGCCACTGAATCTGGGCGCAGTGGCACCCACCTGTAAGGAGGAGCACTGTGAGTCTGAGCTGCACAGTGAGACCGTATCCAATACGTAAGTAATTTTTAAAAAATTAAAAAAAGACTGGGAGTTAGAAGATTACTATATGTCAACTGCATTCTTATGTGTCAGCAAGAAACAACTGTCATTACAGACAGTACCATTTACATTAATATCCAAATAATAAAAGTGCTTAGGTATAAACAAATCTAAAAAAAAATGTACACAATCTGCATGAGAAAAATTGAAAGTAGTGAAAGAAACCCAACATTTAAATAGAGAAGGGGCTGGGGAGACAGCTCAGTAGAATAAGCGCCTGCCTGGCAAGCGCAGGGGCTACAATGAAAGCCCAATCAAAATTTCATCAAAGAATTCTGCAACTAGCAACAAAGTGACTCTAAGCTTATATGGAAAGGCAAAAGGAGACAATATTGCAGGTCTGACTAAGTCAGAAGACTGATACTGCCCCACTCCAAGGCATACTAGAAAACTACAGCAATCGCGATAAGCTGGTATGGGTCACAGACCACATCAAGGAAAAAGAATAGAAAGTCCAGAAACAGACCCAAACAAATACAGTCAAATAATTTTTTAAAAGAAAAAAATTAACTGGACCAAAGATAGTCTTTTCAACAAACGATAAATGGGCACCCCATGCAATAAAAAGGTATCTACATATAAAACTTATTTCACAAAAATTAAATAGGTTTAAAGACAAAAAGGAAGATCACGGGGGCCTGCCCGGTAGCTCAGTTCTTTAAGTGGCTGCTTCAACAAAACAGTCAGGCTCAGGTTGCTTGGGTTCGATCCCCACAACACAATACAGC